TGGGTGGTCTAAATTCCATCCCTTGTAAATTCACCCTCTGTCCTAACATGTTATTCTGATTGTACATATTTTGAAATCCCTCATTCAAATTCCCATAAATATCATTCCTCACATGTTGGTGTTGATCATTGTTTTTATTTCTCCTCAATAGATACGGGGGATTGATATTAGCATTCTGGTTAGTATGATTTTCTACCCTTGTTTGTCGAGGTACAACCAATGCATCCCCGATTCGTGACATTTGGTCTGCTAATATCTCAAAACTAGCAGTAGTGTTTTGAACTAATGGATTTAAAACTGTAGTCAACTGTTGTGATAACATATTCACCATCTCAAAATTGCTCTCATCCATTTGTTGTCTAAGTATCCCTAATGAGTTACTGGATATCCCAGTACCAGTGTTTTCGATAGTCTCAAAATTGGATCGATGATAATCTCTATCGAATGTGTATCTTCCATGTTCCAAATTTCCTCTATGATCTAGATTTCCTCTATGATCTAGATTTGGAAGCGTTTGTTGTGTGCCTAAATTCTGCCCACTTCCTGAATTCAGGGGGATTGCTAAGTTTTGAGATATCCCTAAATTCAGAGGGACTCCAAAATTTTGGGGCATACCTAGAGTTTGAGGCATTCCTAAGTTATATCTTGAATTCCGTTGTGCTGAAGAAGTTCCAGCTCCACTTATATTATTAAGTGAAAACTCAGGAGGTGTTCCACTCATATATGGCCCTACATATGTGGTTGTGGGGTTTCCCACAGTTTGCATATTATTTGGTACCACCACACTAGATCCTACTTGGGTATTTGCTAAGGTGCCTGAATTTTGTTCATTACCCGCAGGTATCGACATACTCGCAGTTGTCGATGTTACAGGCATATTCCCATTATGACTTTGCCCCCCAGTATTTGGTGAATGTACACCATTTAGACCCTCACTATTACTCTGGTTATTTGATGAATTTTGACTCATTCTTATAACTCTCCCACTCCTTAATCTCATACACTTTCGAACTAACCAATTTTGTGTATTTTCAACACAAGGCTACCCCTACCTGGCGCGCCAATTTGTTTCTGGTGGAATTTCGATTAATTTCGACCCCCAAGATGCTTTGATACTAACCAAAACTCTACCACGTAAGTTCTTTTTACTTAGGCTAGCAAATTAATTTTCAATCGAAATGCGTATGAGGATCGAACCTTACCAAGTATCGAAAATGCTACTTTTTTTTTTGGTGTTTTGTATTTAAGATGCAGAAAGCAATAAAATGTCGAATCGAAAAACAATACAGAATACTAAATTGCTGAAACCCGTAAAAAGCGGAAACCTTAAAAGTACTTTGAATGTAAATGACAAGGAATCAAAAGAACGGAAATGTAAAAGGCAAGGAGTCAAGATTGCAGAAAATATACCGGAAATCGAAATTGCATCAATATTAAAGGACAAGGAAACTTAAACGCGGAAACTTTAACTTTCATTGAATTGAAATGACAAGGAATCGAAAGAACAAAAAACATAAAATTGTTGAATATAAGGTGCATCAAAATAAATTACCAAGGAAAGTAAAGAAAGCGGTAAAGGTACTCGATGAGCATGGAAATCCAGATTGCCAGAAGCTTCATGGTGTTCGTCATTTTCCGGTAGACTTCTCACTACTAATTCTGTTCTCTGCCAATTTTCTGCTCCCTTATTCCTTCCTCCTTTGCTCTATTTATAGGGCATCATTCAAACCTTCCAGGAGCAGTTAACAAAACTGCTACCACGTTCTACGTGCGTGTTACAGTTTATCTTCTATGGTTTCAATACTGTACCCACGTTCTCACGATCTTCAACTTCTACCATGGTTTAGAAACTGCTTCCCGTATATGCGCTTGACTGTTCTTCCCTTCACAATTTGGCCAGGGTTTCGATATCCACGTAGGTTAGCCTTCCCCTCGATTTCGATTTTATCGAGAACTTTGAATTACTTTTGGTTCCTTTTAGCCTTAACATCATATACTTCTAATTTCTTGGTTTGTTCCACAATAAGCTTTTAACTATTATTCCTTCGATTCCTACTCTAACTTTCGATTTTGTGTGCCGCGCCCTTCTAATCGGACATCGAATGATTTCTCATTCACCTCTTCGCGTTATCGATCAATCACATGTTTCTCGATTTTTATTTCTTTCATTTTTCGATCGCTTTTCTCGATTTCCTCCTAACAATATTCATACTAATCTAAATACTATATTATTTTGATGTTCTTATCGCAATTTGTATAAAAAATCATATATCTAAGAAAATTTTAATAATTTTTTAAATAACAATATCCATTCAATTTAGTTTTATTAAAATATTTAATTTTATTTTACAGCATTAAAATTATAAAAACGGAGTTTATTAGATAGTTATCGAGATAAAAGAGGAATATTTTATTAATTAATTTTAAAAAAGTTTATCTATAATTATACATAAGAAGATTGTTTTTATAACTTGAAGAGAGAAAAATAAAAAGTGATATAATTTAAAGAAAAAAATATTATAATTTATATATTAAAAAAATAGT